GCCCGCCCGTTCGATGCAATGGGCAATGCGATCCTGATTATCCTGTTCGACGACCTATGCAGTATAGAATTCTTCTTCTTTGTGTATACATTGTGGTTTGATATACGGGTAGTGCCAGAATGTCCCAGACACTAAACAGGAGAACGATTAGGGTTCTTGTCCAAAGCCTGAAGTTCTAAAAAGAACCTAACCACAATACAGTGGGTGAGGCGAAGTGGAGGCCAGTTAAATTGGATCGATTACCCTTCCATCATTTTCCATTGACCTTCCAGGCATGATAAGATCTCGTGGCTGGACAAAAGCCGTCACTTCTTTCTAAAGTGCAGTCTCGTCATGATGGGCCCTATGTCTGTCCATTATCTTAATCTCTTTTCACCGGTTGGACCAAGCTGCAAGAATGCATGCGGCGATCGGACCATTATCTAGGATTGGGGTTATGAAAACTTTAGCTTCAGCGTGACCTTCACTGGTCGCGGTCCGCCTTCCAGCTCATGACCTAAGTGATGAGCTTTGTTGTTGTTGTTGCTTGAAGACGCCGATAATTTCGTTGTCTGATATGAAGAAGCGGATTTAGTGAAGTAAAAAAATGGGATTAGTTCATCTCGATTTTACTCATTGTCTTTACGATCGTATTACGTTCAAAAGCAAAGCGATGCAAAGCGTTTTTTGACCACTGGCTCCTGGTACATTGATCAGTAAGGTTTTCTGGATATTTGCTTTAACCACGATGAGTTTATCATCCAGATTGTTGATAAACCCAAGCTTTCTTACTCGATTGCTATTACGCCATCAGTTTTTTTTCATGTGTACAAGACTTCGTGGTTTGAAAATAGAATTTCAAGTAACATCATTCCCTGTGCGGACCTAGTCTCTATTTTGGAATTGGAGGTTCGGTATAAGCCCAACCCTAATAGCTCCAATAATGTCGAGGTCTTTTGAAAATTATCAGTTTTGCAAATAAAACTAGCAAATACGTCCATCCATCCATCCTATCTGAAGTTTGTATTCCCGTCGGAGACGTTGTAGCATTTCTAGTTTTTGTTGCGATCACTTTGACAAAGAAACTGCGCCACCTGAATGTACCAGACCGGACAAATTCTGAATGAGCTTTGCCGGTGGATTTGGCACTAATTTTGCAGAGTGCACTACAGTCCTGCGTGAACGATGATATCCGTTTGTCAGACTCGTGTCAATTGGTGACTGGTATGTTGAATCGCGTGGGGCATCTGTGTTTGTGTGTGCGCGGGCGCACTCAATGTCTATCCTCGGTGTTTACTTCACAGTGCACACAGTCAATCTCTATGTTCGGACACTTCCATGCGCTGACGAGCCATTTTTACGGCCGCTATTGGTGCTATTTGCTAGGTTGCACGTGGTGGTTTGTGGTGTAGACGTGACATTCAAACACTTTGTGTTAGACCGCATACCTGAGGGGCTCAATTGATCAGCAAGATGTCTGGAATACGCTAATTTTCTTGTCACAGTTCGTTTTAGATGCTAGAAATAAAGCATGTTGTTTCAATTTTGTTTTCGCCTGTTCCTGTGCCACAACTTCATCTGGATCTTTTATTTACGTTAAGATTCTTGCTTTCCACCTAACCGAGGTCGGCGTATTAAAAAATGCCTTTCGGCGGTAAAAGTATATGATGCTGCTTTCATTTCCAGTAAGTTTTTATTGATGTGAAATTCAATGACTGATGGCTTTTCACAATTTCCGAGCACATACAGTAGTCCGATCTGCGAGATCATGGTAACTGGTGGTTAGAGACCCTAAGTGATATCGCTGAGTGTCACTCGTGCATCTACTCAATATTCTTACAACCCCAGTCTATATGAATTCTCTATCTATCCCTCTGTTCTGCTCTCTCAACATTCACAATCTTCATTCTGCTCTTGTTATCCATTGGGCAGCCAAAAGGCAGCTCCCAAAACCAGCGAACGAAAGTGCATCGTTAATGGTTGTGAAAACGGAACGCATTTAATCCTGCTGCCTGGGCATACTACGTTTCGTATCAAACGTTTGTGCATTTTTTATTATAAAATACCCCACTCTGTCAGTTGCGCGTCGACGGGTACACGGTTTCGCCTATTCATTATGAGAAGCTTCTCGCTTGCCCATTGCTTTGATTACGTAATAATTCACACTGTTTTGCGGTTTTGTACCCCTTCCTCTTCGAACCAGCTTATCCTGGCCAATCGTTTTACTCCGGGCGGTGCAGCACAATTGCGTTTCGATCTTGCTCACACCATCTACCCAATGTTTGCCCTCTACACCGATCGTCCGGAAACCCTATTTCCCCAGACTAGAGATTCCTGTATACTACTTAATCTGCTCCGTGGCTCGGCCGAACTGTTACGAGATTCGCTTCGTACAAGTCTGTCTGGCCAGGTGCTTCGCGATCACAATCCTCTCGCACCGTTACTGGAACTTGGTGTGTACTCACTGACCCCAGAAGAGGCAGCGGACGTGTTATCCAGACGTTCCATTCCAGACTAGTGAACTGATCCCCGGTGCCTATCTATCTATCTGTCTTTCTTTTCTTCTGTTTTTGCTTTGATCATCAATAGTGAATCTCGTGATTTCTCATTTTGGACGTGTTCCTCTTCAATACTTCAGTGGTCCAATGCTATGTGTACCACGGGACTGCGCTACTGTGATTACGCCAGTGTACTCAATTATTACTGTGGATTTGGTCCGAGCACGATCTTGATGGGAGCGATTATAATCTGGGATCCGCCCATTTATATTCATTATTATTATTTTTATCATAATCCACACTCATCGGAGGCCAGACTGTGTGCCAAACAAATCATGGTATAATAGTCTTTATAGAAAAAAAGTTCCATGATTTACATGTGGGCCGAATAATTCCAGGTTGCCCAGTTTCCGTTTTTACAACCATCAACCGTGCACTTTCGTGCGCCGGTTTTGGTTGCCCATTTGGATAAAAGAGCAAAATGAAGATTGTGAATCCGTACCATCGTGGTCCAGTGCTTCTGCGATCCAGTCCGTGATAGCTGACTATCGATTCGGGTCCTGTAATTCATATTGCGTGATTGGTGTTACCAATTCCGTGCGTACTACTACTACTACCATTACAAACATTACAAATTGGCGTCGCGTGATGGAGCTCCCAACGATTGAGCAACTGAACCTGCAAGCAAGTCCATCCGAGATCGAGGAATGGGTCGAACGGTTCGAGCTGTGGTGCAGCATTCGCAAAGGTGGTACACAGAATCAGTCAGCCCTATTTCTTATTGCTGGCGACCGTAATCTCTACTCCCTGTTGAGAANGCTGAACAAACAGGCATCACGCTGCAACTATGGTGATCGCCTGGAAGAACGAATGTGTGAGCGCTTGGTGGCTGGCATCAACAATCTGACTCTTCAACGAAAGTTGCTGGAGAAGAAAGATTTAACT